TTATTAGTATTCCTTAAGGAATTTCCAATACGCCAAACTGTATTCGGAGAGAAATCCATGGAGTCTAAGAAATCGTCCCAACAATTTGATCTGTACTCTAGGAGGAGGGTTTTGATGTTCCTAATTTTTCTGTTCAGATTTCTTTTAACAGTGGGATCGTCTGTTCTTCGCCAGATTTTTGCTGTGCGGTTTTTGTCTTTTATTTTCTCAATGATGTGGTCGGGGAGCTTGTCTTTCTTATAATCTTTGAATTTGGTGGAATCATCAAGGGCTTTCTTAATTTTACTATTGATCTTAGTGATATTGTACTCAATGTCTACAATATCGGCAAGAGCCGGGTGTGCAGGTAATTGTTCCAGAGAATTATTGAATTTCTGCCAGTTTATAATTTTCTTTAAAGGCAAGGTCTTCTCAAAGCCATGGTAAGTAAATTTAACAGGGAGATGGTCAGAGGTTAATTGATTAATCACCTGTAGGAAAGGGATTTGCTGGATATTTTTTGTAATAACTAATGTCGAGAACATCCGAGCTGCCTGTATGATGATACCTGGTAGGGTTCCGTTGGTCCAAAAATTCTAAGGTCATTCGTAAGAGCATAGCTATAAAGTATTGTTGCCATTTGTGTTATTTCTTTGAGAATTCCAGCTATGATGTTTAGAATTCAGGTCCCCTTGCTATAATAACAGGGTGAGTGATATTGTTAAAAATTTTTCAAGTCATTGTTGGTGAGAATTGCTTCTGGTTGGATTATAAGCCGAGATGATGACAATCGGCTCATTTGTGCGCGAATGCACAACGATCGCAGTGGTTTCAATGCTGCTGCTATTGGGAATATTAAACTCGTTGGCGTGCAGATGCCTTTTAATTAATATCATAGTACCGCCGCCCCTGTTATGGTCTCTGTCCGTCCTGAATGCGTTGTAACCATTGATCTTGAACTTATCATTAGGTCTGAGCCAAGTTTCATTCACTAGAAACACATCAATATTATGGTGATTAAGGAAGTTTGCAACTTCAACGTTCTTGTGGCGAATACCGTTGGCGTTAAAAAATGCGAGGTTTAAACTGCGTGGGGCAGTGAGGTGAGTTCTTGAATTACTGATTAATGTGGTTAAAATTCATAATTGATGCTTGATAAAAGTTCAAAGGCTTCCCAGCCGACTTGGATTTTTTCCAATATTGATTTAGATTTTAAGAACCGCTCGAAGAGATTTTTTTCCTTGCAGGAATAATTTCTTCAGCCAAATTATGAAATCGGAAACGGAGCCTAAGTTCTCACTTTCGACAGCTGCATCCTGATTGGTGGATGAAGCATTCTGCTCATTAACATTTTCACTGCTATTTTGGGTTATGTTTCTTCTTGGCAGAGGTGGAAAATTTTCTAAGTTGATATCAGGGGGATTATTTTTGAAGTTTTTCTCGCTTCTTTTTGGAATTCTTTTTCTGCAATTTTTCTTTTTAAGTTATCCGGATGCATTTCGCAACCACGGTACGAACTAATGTGGAGGCCTCCGCAGAGGCAACATTTGCCGGGTAAGTTTCTGTCTTTTGTGCATGTAGTAGTAATATGGTTTTGCCCGCATTTTAAACACCTGAGCTTGTGCTTACAGTGAGCACGACTGTGGACATACCTCTGACAGTGGTGACACTGTTTGTCTCCTGGAGTGGGTCTGAAGGGAGTAAATTTTAACAGCCAAATCTAGAATATGCGTTATGCTTGTATATTTTCTTGCCTTCTATGCTGCGTTTGACTTCAACCATGAAAGTGGGGTAGTTTGACAATTTCATTGTCTATTTTCTTCGGTAACTTGTCTTACTGTTTTAACTGGGATGTTATTATCTATTAGTTCTTCCATAATGTCCTCGGGTTTGGTGTGAACAGATAATTTTTTGATTACAACTCTTATCGGTTTATCCTGAGGGAGAGGGAAGGTATGGTAAGGAATTTCCTTTTCGTCTAGGTATCTCGTGACTTCACGATACTCAGTGTCCGATTTTACTTTAATGTGGATATCACCACCTTTCTGTACACATTCCATGGATATGGTAAATTGCTTAATATTATCTCTGAGGGCTTTCCAGTCCATTTCCAGTGACATCTGAAATGATAATCGGCGGAATTCTGTTAGCCTTTTTGTTGGGCGTAATGAAATCACCTTCATTATTAGTACTGAAATCTTCTTGTGAGTTTTGAGAACTAACTTTGTATTGTCCATTTTATCATCTAATTTTGTAGTGTCCATTTTATCATCTATTTTTAGTGAAGCGCGTATTTATTTTTGGTTGACGTCATTGAAGCGTTGCTGCTTTCACTAAGTGTGCGTTTGTGGTATTTTTTGGGTGTAATCCATTTTTCATTATAATTATTTATTTTGCTTATTTCCTGAATAACATTTGAAACTGGTTTGGGTTGCTTTGTAGTTTGATTAGATGTTGAATCATTGCTAGTATTAACTAACGGGATGCTACCACAGATATTTTGCATTGAATCTCCTGCAGCTTGTTTAATCGCTACACACTTCGCAAGCTCTGCATAGGCTTTTTAGAGCCATTGCTCCATTTCTGGGGTGATTTTCCGTAAGCCATTTCTAAGCGTGGTAAACGCTAAGTTAAACTCAGCCATAATCTGCCTACAATCCTCAATCGTGCCATGTTTAAAAATATTCTCAACAATATCGCGCTTATTAAGGACTGCTAAATCATTTATCTCATCCATATTTACCAAGTCAAGCTATTCTATCGATGTACAAGACAATGTCCATAATGAGAGCGTATAAATCAAAAATATACTCACGAACTTGTCCAGATGAGCTACTCCAAGTACACCTTCCGAAAGGGACCAACGAAAAACACTTACTATTTATAAGTAAATTTCCTTCACTTCCTAAATTTTAGAATCACACTCGTAGAGCAAAATAATAATACGTACTTTATAACGACGTAACTGAAACTGTTATAGATATAGAGCATAAATTCTTATATTTAAAATAAACTATTCAGAATGATAAAAAATGTTTGCTGTGATTTTATTTCGTCACAGATGAATGTCACGTGCAGATTTGTTTTCTTGTTAATTGAAGAAAAGCTATTTAATTATTGAACACTTAACTGTGCATTAATTTCCCAGGATCGCTAGTTCACGCGGTTTACAAATAATACTTTTTTTCCAGTGATGTTACTATATGTTTTCAAGGATTTCAAAATTGAGAAATGAAAACGTTAAATACTTTAAAAGTTTTCCTCGTCGTGATTAAACAGAAATAAAGGCGTGGTTCTAGTCTATCGTTCCCAGGTGGCTTAATTTCAAAATTTGTATTTATTGAAATTAAATATGCGACACCTAAATCACTTTTATTTTCTTCAGTTGAAGCGATGAAGGTAACATATAATTTTGAATATTTTGATTATTTGCTTCAAAATTTTTCGGCTGGATGGAGAAAAGCTTATTATTTGGAGCTTTGATCTTAGAACAACAAAAGGACTTAAATTTTATGTACCCTTGCAGATATTCAAATACGAACAGGAATTTTTATTTATTTTTTCTTTGTAAAGTGTTTATCATAATTATGACTCAATAGACAAACTCTTAAATGTTTGAAATTGCCAATGCCCAATAGTAACATCGCTGTTGGTTTTCCTTGCCATTGCTTGTATTAAAAACTCTTACTTTAGAATAGATACTTCAGGGTCATTACATTTTACCTTTCTTGCCTTGTAACCGTGGTAAGGATAGTTTCGGCAGATGGCACAGTCCCCTAATTATGTATTTTCTCCTCTTGAAGAATGCTGTTGGGTTTAATATTGGAACATCTCTTTCGAAAGTGGAGTTCGCTGTGGTTACTGACTCATTACTTGTAATTCCCATGTGAGCAGAAATCCCGTTAAGATCTTTGTAAGCTTGGCATTCGTAACAGAGAACTTCGAATGCTCTGTATCACAGGATTCCTGACCTGACACAGACGATTCCCGCTAGGCTCATGGTAGAACCTGTGTAAATGGGCTTTTACACGTCAGGATGTACTCTCATTTGTGAGAGTATTACTCCAGATTGCTGCTGCATATAAAACAATTCGTTTCGCTACTACCTTCTACCATAGCCACAGTAGCTTTCCCGAGATAACCCATCTCACCGTTGCATGTGGAGGTTATAGAACGAGTGCTACTGGTAAGAGTATTAAGCCTCACTTTTAGTGAGGAGATACGAAGCTGCCAGGAACGTCTGTTATCATATTTAATTGAAGAGTCCAGAAGTCTGAGCCCAGCGGAGATTTCGACCTGCTTCTTGCCGATCGGGTGGACTCAGACCCGAATCCTGGAATCCGAATCCGAAGGCGCATATGTTTGTACGATAATGGAGGCACTTAATATACTACCGAAACGAAAGTCCACTCGAGCGGTATGGTAGCAGGGTAAAAAGGGTGAAAGTCCTTAGGATGGTACCCCCCGCCGAGGTTTTATCCATTGGGGCGGAAATGCACAGTTACTGCAATGGGAGTACATCTGTACGAGGAATAGTGAAATTGCTGGTATCCCGTCTTCCTGTACCTATACTTGCAATAATTTGTGAAATAAAACGGCGAACGCATTGATTATTTCTGCAGTAAACTCACTCTGCATGGTCAGACAGTTAACTGTGCATTCCTTTTATAATATTTCGATAAAAAATAAATGTACGACAAATACAATAAACGTTATGGTTATGGTCATTCGTCACCTTATAATTTTCTTCCATTTTAACACTAGTCTTTATAATGAATTACCGCAATGTGTTAAAGCATGAGTAAGTAGAATTCCAAGAAACGGTGTTGTGTTCATTTAGCAGCCTGCTATTTGTAGACCTAGCAGCCCTAATGCTATAATGTTTGTATTTTTGCTTTTTTTTTTTAAATTTACCGACACATTATATACAGAAACGTGTTAATTTTGCTTTTTTTTACATTTCAGTGTGGGTAAGCTCTTGATCAAAAAACGAAAATTTGAAAATAAGTCAAGAACCTTACCAGAAAACGCAGAGAAGTCCTAACCAGGGCAATGTGATAGCAAGTTGTAACCAAAACCAATCGGGAATCAGCCAAGCTATACCTGGCAGCAGCATATACGCAATCGCCCACCCGTATTTGTAGGTCATGCCGTAAAGGGTTCTATATTCTGCGCTCACTACTTCAGAAACTGAAATCAAGAATAAATTACAAAGAAAATAGCAATAAATAATTGTAATAATTTAAGTAACTCTCAAAATTTTAAATTAGGTATTTCCGATTAGAGTTTTTGGCACATACTATATTTAATTTAAACTAAATATAATTAGGTGCACTTGTAGAATAGGACGCCTTTTCTGATTTCTGCTCTTAATTACGGAAGCCTTCTAAAACACAATACTGCTCAGTACATGTTCTTAAAATCTGCCAACTCTCAGCCTATATTAAACGCTTCCGAACAATTAAGGATATTTATTAGAAGAAAAAAAAGTGCATTCTTAAAAGAGCTTTGGCATTTTGAATCGTATCCTTTTCTATGGCAGCTTCAGACTTTTTTGGACCCAATTATTAGGAAGGTTGCATAGGGCAAACACATTGCTGCAAAGTATTTGACAAATAACTACTTTTTAAATATTAATACAAAAGCAATTTATAATATTTCTAATCTTTGTTTACTTTTGCGCTTTCTAATAAAATAAACAAATAAAAATCAATTTTATTAGATTCCGAACGACTTACCCTTCTGTTATTCGACAATATGTTTACTCCGATTTATTATGAAAACTTAGTTCTTATATATTAATATTCGTAGTGGTAAAAGTAATAATAATAATAATTTTAGTACTCGCATAACAGATGTTTTAAGTCATTCTAATTCAACAAATGATTTGATGCATTTCAGCGATTAAGCAATTTGAGCCATTTCCAGCTAGCCATTGTGCTGACTATTACTTAAAGTAACCTCTCGGCAATGCATCATCTGCAGCTTTTCAGAAATAATTTCATAACTTCATTAGTTAACATTTTGCCATAACTGCCTTAATAGTGTCGTAACTTCCACAAATACTCATCCCAATGCATCCTTTTTTCGATTGCCCAGTGTCTGTGCAGTGTGCTGTGTACTACAACAGAGCAAGTTTTACATTCTCCGGAAATATTTCTACTATAAAAACCTCAAAAGATAATTTTATGCACAAATTTCGTTGCAAAGTACCAAGTGTGTAATAAAAATTTGTTTCCGTTCACCAAGTGTGTCGCAATCATCGACATGTACAATGACAATGTACAGTGCATCTTTTGTAATGTTATATTTTCTGTTCACAAGGCAGTAGAAAAAGAGACAGTCCAAAAATATACAATGTTAATCTTTATAAATTAGGAAATATATCAACGAAACCTACAATACTTTAATAAGCTAATATTAGTTGTCTTCTCAATTTAAAATGTATAACGTCGGTTGCTTTTATCAAAGAAAATATAGTAAAATTTTTGCTAGAAACATCTGTACTTTTTATTAGTAGGAACTCCTGAGAAAGGATTTTTTTGGCAGCTCAAACCAAAATTCAAACTCATCAGTTTAAAATCAGTTAATAGCTTATTTCACTTATAAAAAAATGTTGTTAACGAAACATGTTCCCTCTTATACTGCAGAACAGTTTCTACTTAGATTTTAGAAAACAGCGGAGCTTGGATTCTACTGGAATCAGTCCTCATGGCTATACGTTTTATTTCTGAGTTTTCATACTATCATCCATACAAATTAAGCTCACCATCTACTAAAATTATATGTCATTTATAGAATCAGCACACTTAAATCAAAGAATGATGTTCAGTAGAGCAAATTTCTAGAAATATAAAAGTGGTGCTCTTATCGGAAATTAAAATCAAAGAGTCAAAAATTCTTATTACTAGAAAATATAAATTTGACTAAAATCAAATTCGAAGAAAAATTAACGACTTCCTTATTATACTCGGGAAAACTCCTACCATATAGTAAAAATTTAAAGTACCGAAGGATTTTCAATAGAATGAATGAGAACTTTAGAATGAGACTATTAATTGCAGCATCGCTAACTAAGCAAAACATTCGGTCAACGTAATCTTAAAGGAAGATACATTGTTACATAAAGTTCAGTAAATATTCAAACAACGTTAAAATTTGGCAACGGGCTGGTACACATATCAAAGATTACACCTTTCATAATTTCTGTAATAAGATCCTTGTAATGTGATTATGAGTTTTCAACGAATTCTTTCCATAGGGCATTTTGTCACGTGAGCAAATTCATCTTCAAAATCTCTTTGCTTTCGGTTGTCTAAGCACAGCTTCACTAAACTGCAATATCTTTAGAAAATAAAGTGCTTCTCTCAATATACAGTACTTCAAATTTTTTTGCACTTCCTTTCCCCCTGATAAGGAGATTTCACAGCATGTCCACACAGAATTAAATCCAGTATCGGCTTCAGAATCGGTACAATAGTGCAGATTCATTGGCTGGTAGAATGTAAGAGCGACAGTCGATGCGTTTTGAATCGGACTGCAAAACATCTAGTGTTAATCATAGTCAGGACTTTTTAAGAAATTAATTCACTGAAATTTGTAAGTGCGCCTTTCTAATCCTCAGATATTGTAAATTTATACTACGGATTATTCTGTTAGTCGTAGCTTTGCATTTGTAAGGATGCGTACACAAACACAGACCAAGAAGTCAGGCAAAGCTGTATGTAGCTGTCATATGCAATGATTGCACTGTAAATTCTTCTATATGGAAATTTTACATTATGCGTACATAAGTAGTGAAGTCCGAGGTTGCACCAGAACCAGTGTAACTGTTCAGCTGCACCTGTATTAAAATTTCAAATAGACAGAATCTGCAGGTTTTTGTACTTTTGATGTTAACTGCCGGATAGTAAAATATTCGAGCATTTTACTCGTCATCAAACGGTAACATTCCGTAAGTCTCTCCTTCCATGGGCATGGGGCAACTTATAAGTAACAGAACACTTTTGCCCACTTTCGTCCAAATTTTGAAAGTGAATCTTTTGAGGGAGGGCACAGGCAACGGTATCCAACCCATCTTTCTTTGCCACCAAGGCCGCTCTAGGAAACTTTTAATTCGCCGTTTATTTTAAGCACCTTATATCGCAGAAACATTATACGTTTACAAGCATCCAAATCTTCTCTGGGATTCAAACCCGGGCTTGACGATACGGCAACCATCAGCCTTAAGCACTATATCAATCAGCGAATAAGTTATATGAAGAGCGTAGTGATAATATTTGAGCAAATACTTACGGTACACTATCAAATGCTGACCAGCGAAGATTCTCTGTATGCGCTTGGACAGATCGTGATTAATCGTGATCGTGATTAATCACATCGTGAAAGTGATTTTGATTGAGCCTTATTTCTTACCAAAGAAACTCGAAGAAGATATTTAATCTTTTAAATGCCTAGAATAGATCTCACTGGAATTTCTACGGTGTATTCCGTTAGCCATTTGACGTTGAGTGCCGTTCTAACATGATAACCTGCTAGCGCGTTTTAGAATGGAGATAAATAATTATTTGAAAGGAAATATACAGGCCAAATAGTCATGTCATCTGATTATCATGATAGCCAGATTTACCCCATCTGCGTTTTTTATGATGAGCAACTGAAAAGTTTGTATACAAGACGCTTGTTAATTTCGCCAGAGATCTTATCTCTAGAAGATTTCACTGCTGAAAGAATATTTCTAGTATTTAAAAGTATCTACCATAGACATTGCTCTGATGGTTTCAGGCTTCTGTTTTGACTAGCGGTCGTTCAACTGAATTACCATTGTAAATCTAGTCATGTAAAACATTTTGCTTTCTGAATATTTCCTGTGTTATAGACTCCACTTCCGCCTATGCATCATATTACAGAAAATGCTAGTTTGGTTAGGCCCTACAATTTTTTAAAGTTTCATCCATGAATTTAGAAACTTCTTGTACTTTGGAAAACCTTAAATATATCTCATCAACTCAATTGACACATAATATGTAATGCATTTAAATACAAAAGATAACAAAATAAAGTTAAATAAATGCAAAACTGGTTGAAATATAAAGCAAACACATCTTCATGTCACAAAGAAAAAGAGTTAAGAAAATAAACAAATCATTGGATCAATATTTTGCGCATTTCTAATGAAGTGCTGCGAATCAGAAAAGAGCGAAAAAGTACATTAGTATAAATCATGAACTATGGCATATTTTGTAACATATCTTGTATTTTACAATCAAATGCATAGATAAGAATCAATGAAATCGGAAATTGCTATGATATTTTTATAACTTTAAAACAAATCAATTTAAAATATACTACTAGAAAAGTATCAAAATAGCAAACTAAGAAAATACGTATCAATAATGTAGCAAAATTTTCTTTTATCTAAAATACATAAAATATATTTCTTACATATGACGATGGCAATAGTGAAGAGAGATGTCATTCCCAGAGCAATAAAGAAACGAAGAATAACAAACATTAAGAAACTCTCAGACAGTAATGTCAAAAAAGCAGCTGCAAGAAACACAAAGAGACATCCGATAACCACTCGACGTCGTCCTATCCTGGTAATTGAAAATAATATTTATGTATATAATAATTTGTTTAAATGTTAAGAAATATTATTTTAATCTCACAGTATGTTATAATACTAAGTAACTCGTGAAAAAATTTTTATATAGTCTGCATTACATTTACATTGAAATGTAATGCAAGATTAAATTTGATTTGTGGCATATTAAAAATTTATTTGATAAAAAAGAAAAAGTAAACAATAGAAAATAACATGAGAATAAAAAAGCAGAACAAATACTTCAATTTAAATTTCATATGGTTGTTAAATAATTAAATTGTATAAGGATAAGTTTGAAGACATGAAACAGAGCACGAGCTTGACCTCCAGATATTTACTTTGCTATTCTCTTCACAGTAGAACTTTAACGCGGTTAATTGAATTTCTATTCTTTTAATTAGTTTTAAATTTTTGGCATGATTTTCGATTGATTTATATTTTCAAACTGAAGTAAATTTCACATTTTTATTTGATAATTTAAAGGAAATCTCTAATTTAAAAATATATTAAACTGTTGAACTTGCTTAATTTTTACAATCAAGAATATAACAGATAAATAATTTTTAATGCTTCTTTTTTTTTCTATGAAGGCGTTACATCTCCACATGCACGATGAAACTTTCAAAAGTTAAATAGAAAGGAAAATCACTATTAAGAATATCTAGGAGAGGAATGGCAGTAGTAAATTTATTACTTTGTAATACCCTTTAAAAGTATTCATACTGTTGGGAACTGCGGGTTTATGGCTGTCTCTTTAAATAATCACCTTATATGAGCAGGAACAAATTGACAATTTATTATAAATAATAATTACACACAGCATAGTAAATAATTGTACACATCTCAAAGAGGACGCCAGTATTAAGAAGTTCCTCCTTAGCGGGTGAGAAATATTGTAAAACTTCCAAAATCACTCAAGCAGGAAACTCTAAAATGCAATTCAGTTGTAAAGTGAACCCAGAGTTAAGAACAGACTTCATATGTGCTTCTTAATTAAGACATGCTACTGAAGTTTTAGTAAAATTCATACAGTCAATTGAATTTCGAAGGGAAATAAAGTGCTTAAAAACAAACAATCTATTCCAAAAATAGTAAAATATCATCTCTGAACGTATTTCTTGACAAAACTGAGGTACTGAGTGTAGGAGGAAGACTGCAGTTTTCTAAGTTTTCTGAATTTCAGAAACATCAGATGCTTTTGCCAAAGGTTCATCATTTCACTAATTTAGTTATTGAATATTATCATAGAAAATCCTTGCATTCTGGTGTACAGACTACATTATATTTAATAAGACAGTCATATTGGATACCGTCTGGTGAAGATCGAGTCAGAAGAGTAATAAATAAGTGCATCACTTGCTTTAGAACGAAGAATGAAACAGTAAACTAGATGATGGGTAATCTACTTAGGGACAGAGTCGTACCTTCCAGACTTTTCAAGAAGGTTGGATTAGATTTCGCAGGACCTATAATCACGAAAACTAATTTGAAAAGTTCAAAGGTGACTTTAAAGTTTTATATTGCATTATTTATCTGTTTTTGCACTAAGGTAGTGCACTTAGAAGTCGTTTCTGATTTAACAACAGAAGCATTTCTACCCTGTTTACGACGATTTATTGCCAGAAGACCCAAACCAACCGTCACCTGGAGCGACAATGTCAAGAATTTCAAAGCTGCGAGAAATATTCTTAACGCATACAATGAAATTTGCAAATCTAACCCAATTCAAGGATTTAGTGCAGAAGAAGGCATCCAATGGAAATTTATCCCACCAATTTCTCCACACTTTGGCGGACTGTGGGAAGCAAACATAAAATCAGGGAAACGGATTTTGTTAAGGGTAGCAAAAATCAGCTATCATGAATTTTGAAGAGTTAACTACTTTTGTTACTCAGATAGAAGCAGTTCTGAATTATCCGCCCATTATCACCGCTTTCTTCCGATCCGAATGACTTACAGCCTTTAACTCCGAGACACTTTTTGACAGGAAATGCTATGTTATCCTTTCCTGAACCACACACTGCTTCTCATTCTCTTTCTTTTCATTCCAGGTGGGAACTAGTTCAGAGACTCGAAGCTAAATTTTGGAATCGGTGGCATTCCGAGTATCTAAAATCAACTATTGAATTGTGCTAAATGGAGCATTTCGCAGCCGAACATACAGATTGGTCAACTAGTACTGCTAAAGGACTCATACTCCAATCCTTTGCATTGGCTATTGGGTCGCATCCAACAAGCGTATCCTGGTACTGATGGTCTGGTCAGAGTAGCTGAAGTTAAGATGTCTATCTACTGGTGTTCTTCGGCGAGCCATCAACGAAGTCATTCCGCTACCATTTAAAGACTGAATGATATGAACTTGAAAAACTTTTATATTATATATTTCATTAATTTACCAATTTAATATTTAGTGAAATTTTATTGACTTTAAATTTTATCTGAATATCTGAAAATTGAAATGCAAACTCCATGGGAGTTTAAGCGGGGAGAATGGTAAGACCCGCGTAAAGCTAGAGGGCACGGAGAGCGCCATTGCGTGTGTTAGTTGATGGAAGATGTGACGCAGTGATGATGTGAGATTTCTGAGGTTGTGATATTATTATATTTAATTAAATCAATTTATATTTTATTCATTGTTGATTTATTGAAATTTATGATTTTGATGCAATACTATGATTAATGAACCACCACACTGTTGAAAGTTGGATTACCACTGAATCTTCAAACCACTGATGCGCAAACATATTTATTTTGTTTCATAGAGTAGTGTATTATCCCATTAAGCATACAGATCAGCTATAGCTCAGATGCTTTTTCAAATAAACTGCTGTAAACTTTTTATAGCACTTTGCGTAGTGTATTAAATTTTTTGCTCAGTCTTAAAAAAATGTAGTTTATTAGAACTAGCTTATCGCGCAAAATTATGATAATTTTTTGTTACTTACCTGTCGGATATTTGTCCACTCAAACTTGATGATAGCAGAAAACCGACCATATAGGTGGTCTTGGTAATGGATATCATCCATTCGCGATCACAAACAAGATTCCACTGAAAGAAGGCAGAGATATCATGAATAAGCAGGTTGGTTTCTGAAATTCATTTAAAAAATAATTTAAGATAAAGTGAAATAAGGTCTTACTTTGTCCACGATCGTTGCTTCATAAAAGGAAAGATCATATTCCCAAGCATTGCATTTAATTGGATGTCTTTTCAAGTAAAGGGAGGAAGTAATGGAACCATTAGCATAAGAATCATTGTACATGGTGCACCTGCTGCGTTCCATGTCGCCTGTTCGTGTCTTTACCAATGGCAGACTCTCGTTGATCCATTGCTCAACAGATACGTTTGCGAGGATGGCCTTCGGATGGATTAAAGATCTCAATTATTCCTTGCTTCGACAAGTACTTAAAATGAAAGCATTTTGCCGATCAATTGTATATGTATCAATATTAAACTTCCAGCTTGTAATTATGAGATAGTCAGTTGCAATAGCACATATTGTCACATTTAAATATAAATCAAAGCTGGGAAAATTTGGAATTCTTAAAACACACGGAATTTGAACGACAGATATTTTAATGCATCTTGTTCTCGATTCACCATTTTATCAAGCGTAATATCTTGTCTTTCAGATTCTAATGAAATTTATAGCATTTGGCTGCTGCTTTCTAATTAAATACCTGATATTCGACACTTTAACCTCAAACGTCACCTAAGCTGGGGTACGAGTTGTCAAATTTAGATTAAACAGACTGTGAAAGCAAGCAAAACATACAAAGAATTTACAAAATATTACTTTCGCTTTTTTTTCCTCACTACTTGGGAGTCAAATTAAAACATTACAAACAAAATCAAAGTCTCCTCCTCTTTCAATAACTTCTTGGAACGTATAGCAAATTAACTGGCCGGCAATACCATATTCCTATTTAAGGCTATATATAACGCATGCATCGGAAAACCTAATTTAAATTAAAACACAGTTACCAATTCTGCCTAATACCAAGCCCTTATTTTAAATCTAACAGGAAAAAATCGTCGGCCGTAGCGACAGCCGAACATCTCTCTACAACAAGTCGTGCGATTACGTTCTTCCTCTGAGTTCAAACTACTCCGCTTGCTAATGAAATTTATATAAATCTCTGCACTCAGCGAATATGTGACGAAACAATGCATACAGGAGAGATGTAAAATGAATTTTTAGCTATTAGTTAAATTCAAGTTAAATGGGACAAGTTTGTTTATTAAAATGAAACAGAATCATACACATTTTCCTGAAGACATATTTTTTCCTACAAGTTAAAATTCGACACAATATTTTATGCTAAAAATCTTAAATTATATTGCTCGAAATTTATTAATTTTGAGTTTAAATTTTGAATTATTTTATTTTACGTTCGGCCACATAGAAATATTCAAACATTTTAAGAAATACAGCTGGATATTAGATATTTGTTACAACGTTATTAATTCAGGCAAGCAAATGTAGAAGTGATGCGAACTGCCTAGCGTTTCGCAAATTTCACATTCAAATATTGGCTTTCATTTTAAAAAGCAATTTATTACTTGAAATAATATTTAAAACGAATTTGATTATTTATCGCTTCATAAATAATATATTAGTCTGCTTCGCATCTTTCTATATAATGAAACTACAATATTGTTTTCTCATTTATTCAAGGGGGGACATAAGACATAAATAAAAGCTTGGAATTCAATGCATTAGGATTCACCAGGAATAACAGATATCTTTGAACGGATCTAAGATAAACAAATTCAAAGATATTATAGTAAAACGCCTCAATTAAAAAATTTTAGGAAGACTTTTTCAAAATCATTTCTGATGCCAGTACCCTATCAGGATAACTAGAAAAGATTTTATAGAGTAATCTTTTCAAATTGGGGTGGTATGTTAAATTCTTAATGTTATACTACCTTAATGTGCCATTTGTCATCTACACTACTTGACTAGTGTTGCCATTATACGAAATGTAAAAGCTTAAATTTGTTGCCATTTGACAGAGCGAAAGATCTTAATTATTTTTTTCCCAAATTTTACTTATCCTATGTAGCAAATCCTATTTAGCAAAGTGTGAGATTTACAAACAAGGGACGCTTCATTAATAAAAGTTGTTTCTAACTCCATACATTGTGCACCTCAGTAGAGAATCTCTCCCGCAATTAGGTGCAGTTATTGTTTAAATGATGATATTGAATGTTACTGCTTTTGTAATAACAACACCAAAGCTTATAATAAAGACAAAATACTGAAATACACGCACGTAAAACATTTTATTTATTTTTTATTGCACCTAATTCTCATCACAAACATGTTCAGAAAACAAACATTTCAATTCACGTTTTCACTGATTGATGGAGATATATCATTAATTTCGTAAAATTATACAAATTTAAATTCTTTAAAAGGATATATGCTGGGTTGCCAAATTATTTGTAGAATTTTAAAATGCATCCAGCAAATATAGCGAAGTGCGGCTCAATGATGTAGCGAAAAGCGAAAGCTTTCGAGTTTGGCTACGGGACATGCGACACCAACTCATGAATGCCTGCAAATTTTCTTGAGCATAAGTTCAGGAAGGTGGAGTGGCATACAATTTTAATTAAAATGCCGTCTTGAAATGGGGCATAGACGAATCACAATATACACTGCAGAAAAAACACACCGTGTTTGTAAAATTAAAAAATGTTCCTTTTTCATGATGAATATAAAAAATAAAGCACAGTTAAATATAAAAAGTAGAATTAACAGTTGTATATGATTCCATTTCAAAACTGAATTCACTCAAAGAGCCAATGCCTTCCATGACTCTGTATTTTTCCCAATAGGGAATTTGTTCGTTTGAATCTCTGAACGAAAAATTTAATTTTTCTTAGGACAGAGACAGCAAGTCTTATGCAGGATTTAATGTAGTCTTAATGCAGTCCGTAAATGTCTATGATTCACTGCCATTGGTTAGACTTGTTCAGGCTGCTCAGGTTTAGCAGTATTAGCTCCCTTATTAGAGTTGAACATTTTTCATTATTTTTTCGCAGAAGTTCTGGCATTTTTTTCTGTTCTTTTTACATTTTTAGGGTACCATGAGCAGCCTCCATAGGAGGCATGTGGTCTCTTCCACAATTAATAAACTTTCCAGGAATATTTTTGCCTTTTTTATAAATAATATTCAAATGAGTTTGAGCCCATTTGAGACAGCGGGCCTTCTTCTGACAACAGAGCTTACTTTGTCCAGTTTTGGCACTGAGTTTTAGGGCGCCGGGTAGTTTTGAAAGGTTCTGTATAAAAAAATAAGTTCCTTAGGCTAGTTAAGCTATAGATTAACTTGCTTGTTTCATTGAGTTCCGCCTTTCCATTGAGACAAGGATTGAATATTCTCATATGTAGCTTTCTGAGTTGAGCATCATTTCATTCTGCATGATATTCAGCAAATCAAACTCTTGAGGTAATTCTGGCAAATTAGCACTATCCCGGTCCTGAGATGAAGCCATTTTATAAAGTTCGTTAATATTATTTAATTCAAAACCTCAAATTTAAGCTCACAATTCACATTCAGAACTTTAGAACTCAGTCATTAGCTTTTATTCAAAAGTTCTTGAAATTGTTTCTTTACGTTATTTTATACCAGCATATATATTTCGAATGGCGAATTCTAGCCATTTATAGGAGGTAGGCAACTACTAAGGCCGGAAGCAGTGGTCTGTTTATTATAGGGGTACCCAATGGGTAGATCACCGTTGCCTGCTATTGAAGGGACGGACAAATTACATCCATGCCTTCTCCGAGATTTCAATCCGAGCCCTTCGGTACGACAGTCAAAGTCATTAACCACTTTCCCATCTGGGCGGCTACCAGCATATATATATATATAGAGAGAGAGAGAGAGATTCATTTTGGCAGTCTTGCCACCACGCAAAATATAAAGTTTTTAATGAAGTCACGGTGCCATGGTCTTGTTACAGAAATAGTATTTAACCCGCTTTTGGAAATTTCGACCTAATGCGTTGGCGTTTATGAAAGAAAAATATTTCTTTCGAAAATATTAATGCGTTAGCGTTTATGAAAGAAAAATATTTCTTTCGAAAATATTAATGCGCTGGCGTTTATGAAAGAAAAATATTTATTTCGCTCGCAGCAAACAAATGATTGCTATATATAACATAATTTGCTCGTGTTATTCTTGTGTGATGCTTTCAGCGTGGTCTGTTATTAAAATTTTGAACTAAAATATACTATAAGCCAAGAAATATTAATCTCTATGATAAATCCTAGGAGAAGAGTTTTTTTAGAACATCAGTTTGCTGCTATTTTTAAAAACATGTAGCATTTATGGCACATACTATATTTCAGGAAACGCTGAAGTAGAGCAAAGAATGCTTACCTCGGGAGATCTTGCACACCAATGATCTACGTTGGGAGCAAAAAATGTCATGATTAGATTATGTATGCAATGTGATGCGGCACAAAAGAAAAAGAACGTAAAGATACCAAGCTGCCAAGGACCATGACCTCCAATTATATTAGTGAAATCCTTTGGTTGCGAGGCGTTTCCCTTTTGTTTCACAAGTGCCATCCTTCAGTAACCGCTTCTTCTCGTAAGAATACAGAAACAAAGAAATTTTTTATTAATTCTTAAATTGAAGAAAAAATTAACAAGTAAAAAGGAAGAAACGAATACGCGTTATGGTACAAATGTATAAACATCATCGTACGTATTAGAATTATTGTAAGTTCATAAAAGACTTCGTCAGCCCTTTATTTTTGCAGTCGTTGGTCATAGTCTTGTATTTCTAACTATAAAAATATTTAAAATGTAGCAAATATTCCAGTTCTGGCCTTTTAAAATTTTAAAAACCGGCTTCATAAAAATTGCAAAATATAACTTTATGTGCTTCCACCAGTCTTTATTCAGTAAACGTTTATATTCATTCTAAAATATAAAACACAAAACTTTTGTCTCTTGCACAAGAAAATATTAGCTGAGAAAGGTAATATCTCAAAGTCTGTAATCATGTTAGGAACTCTACATAAATTAAAGAGAGAAGTATTTAAATCTGTATTTCAATAAAAATAAAATGTCAGATTAAGCAGATTTAGAAAGAATGAGAGAAATTTCTGATGTTCATAAATCATGTAATGAGTATTGCTATGCAGACTCTCGTAAGTATTTTCTCCATCCTTTCTGCACGCCTTCGTGGTGTAACAGTTAGCACATTCGGCGCGTATTCTAGAGGTCCAGGTTTGAATTCCTATAAGTCCAGGTGAGGGCATAGCTCATTATCACGTTTTTCTGCTTCAAAATAATCTAATTACGCTGCAATGGCGCAGAACTAAAAGATAACCAAATACTGATGATGATTCTTCACCACCAGTATTTGGCGATTGAGGTCCCATAATTCGCAGTCGTCCTTTAAAAGCGGGAGTATATGCGGTCAATATATTACTACGTAACCAGAATGCTTCCTCTCCAATATGTCATCTCCGTGCGTCATCTTTGGATTTTTATTCTTCTCTAAAATTCAAGCATGCATAAACGAGAGAAATTTAGTCTACTTCGAGGAATTTAAAAATACAAACTAACTTCATGAGCCAGTGTTTGAAACATTCACTCAACACCCTACCTACATTTTATACAGGTATCTGTCGCATGATGTGCACCTGAAAGCTAGACTAAAGTGCCTTGCCCTGGATCATTTTTAGAATAGCAATGTTTGGAATGTAACAGAGAAAGAAATGATTATTTCCATTACAAACTGATGGGGATTCGTTAGTAGTGGATTTTACCGTCGTCCTATTTTTAGGACAGTTGAAAATGCAAGGAAAATTTATCTTTTAGATAAATGTTTTTGATAATGATTTTTATTTTTATAAAAGTATGGCATATTATATCAGTAAATTTATATGTATGTTTTTCTTGGAACTAAAAATTTTAATAAACTTGTATGTTGAAAATGTAAGCAAAAACATCTGCAAAAATCCCATTTAAAAAATTAATAAGAAATATCTAACTTAATTCTAACTTGCGATAAAGAAAAATGTATAGTTAAACGATTCTTAAATAATAAATCGTCTTTTATTTGAATAAAATTAGTTCAAATATTTTATACAAAAACTATTTATGTGTGCTAGCCTATTTTTAGGACGATGAGGAAATATCGGTTAAGAATAACCATTCATTAAAATGTGAAACTGGCAAAACAAGTGCGACTATCTATAACACGAGTAAACACGGTAGATAGTTTTTCGGCAAGTGTGCAGGATGTAAACGAAAGGAAAACATTTATCTGAAAGGTAATAGAATGCACCTTTTCTGTTGTATTTAATGTTAGAGATGAGTCACTAATTCGTCTGTTAAAATTGAAGAAAATGTTTTGGTAGTTTAGATGGTATTGTTGTAAATCATTACTTCAAGAAACATTGTCTCTAAAATTGGGATGATATGAAATTTTACCAACTGGCATATACTGTGTATTTCGAAAATGGATGCAGCAACTCAGCTGCATTAAGATTCAGGATTCAGAAGAATGTCAAATTCCTTGTCATGTTTTCACTAATAATTTAAGCATATTGCTGTTGCATCTTCCTATTGTACAAGTGTATTCCTATATTCTATCAAAAATATTGATATTCCCAGAGCATGAACTCTTATTGGAGCTTATATGTATCCTTTCATGAGAAATACGTTGAAAGAAGAGGTTCGTTTACTTTTGGACACTAGAATTAAGTTTATGGTGAGTTTTTATTGAAAACAGAGTGAAAGAAATTAAAAGACATTGTAAATTAGAACAAGTGAATCATATACCTGGATGTATGAAACCTGTAGATTTGTTATCAAGAGGTTGTCTTCCTCAACAACTCAAAATCCTGATGCTTGGAGGTTCCAGAAAGCTTGTATGATGTTCAACAAAAATAGCTTGTGATATTCTTGCCCCCGAATTAAAGAAAGTCTGAAAGGAAAATCGAAAGAAATGATAGAAGCATTTCCTCTAGCATTTTAGTTGTATTATTTTACTTTCAAGATATTCACAAGTTCTGGGAGTCAAAAAGCCTGGGAATCAAATAATCCGGGAAAAAGTTGTAAGAGGTGAAAGAGATCATGAAGTTAGTAAATTCAATGTTATCTTTGTGCGAAAAATACTTAAAAAGAAATTAAAAGGAATTATTTGGCAAAATAGGGATACTTGCATGACAGCTTTGTTTAGAAAGGAAAATTCCAAATGTTACACCTCCTTATATTCTTGCAGAAGGAAATTCTTCATGATATAAGGAAAGTAATATAAGAAAAGAGTAGTATTTTGCAGAATTCTTCTGCAATAATATTACAGCAAAAAGAGTTTGAAGACTTTTTAAGTCTAGATAGATGTTCACGGAATTCTTCAAATGAAGTCGAGAATAATGGATGAAAATAACACTGAAGAATATATGTATCCAGTTGTTCTTCCTTCTAAGCAACCTTTTGCGTAACGAATGATAGAACATAAACTATTCCTTCATAAGTATAACGAAACACTTTCATTTATTATCAATCTACGAAAAAATGTCCGGATTTCGAAACGAAATAAAATTTGAAGCTGAATTGGAGAAAGATACCGTACAAAGGTCTTCCAGAAGACTAACTAACAAAAGAAACCAAAACCTTTTTATTTTAGAACTTTTAGATATTTGGTTTTGGTTAATGTTTACAAAACTTTCTCTTTACAAAGGCTGAAAGTAGTAAAATACCAAAAGTAGTGAAATTTGGTTTTGTGTAATTCTTAACCCATGCCTATATGGATGGCAAAACACGAGTTAAGTGATTAAAGAGTTAACTTTTGGGGCAACTTCCCCTTGAAAAGATCTGTCTTCTTACTGCTCAACAATTATCCACTTTATGCAAATTAAATTAGAACTTTTTTTTTTAAATTTTTTAAAGTTTTTAAGATAAATTTTTTTATTATATTTTTTATGTATTTACATACTCTATTTACTTATGCTTTCTGAATTTGAATGATATTGCAAATTAGTTCGCAGCAATAATTAATAATTTTATTTTGTTTGCAATTGATTTGGTTTATTCAGTTACGGCGAAGCATACTAGGGCTATCTGCCTAAGGGAAGGGATGCCTTCGTGGAGGACTTTCTAAGGGAAACTGGCTCGTATACACGTTACACGTGGGAAAAACTACGAAAACGCCCATGCAGCCAGCCGTTTGCGGAATTCGAACCTCGGCCCGAACTACCAGTGTTCAGCGACTTTACCGCTCGGCCGTTTGCAATTGAATTTACATAATTTAAAATTTTAATTTTCTATATATGAATTAGCTAATAATATTGTATTTGTTAAATATATATATAATTAAATATATAATTAAAGACATAAAGTATGAAATTTAGAACTAATACTTCATAAAGACCATAAATTGAAATTCATAATTTATACATATAATTTATTTTCTAGTAATTATTTAATATGTTATCTCCTTTGAAGTCTAAAGTTAGAATTCTATGAATTGAATTAACTCATTAGCATATTTAAAATGGAATGATTAAAATTTAAAATGGAACTAGTAAAATGAAATAGTTAAAAGCGAAAATGTAACCAACAAACTAAGTAATTATCCTGATTGGTCGGAAATTAGTTGACTTTTAAAGGGAACAAACTAACTTCTGATTAATTATCAATAATTAACAGAAGTGAAAGTGTTTCGTGATTTTTCAAGTAAGAATCAAAACTGAAAAAATTATTTAGTAACACTGATTTAAAATTATTTATAGTGCTAATTAAAAATCAATAAGCAATTGGCAGGTCTGTTAATCTTTAAATGCAATCTTCAAATCGGAATATGTAGTTCTTATAAGAGTGTGTTTAATTTTCTTACTTGAGAAAATTGCTACACGACACTTTCGCCTGTAATCATATAAAAATAATTAAAATCATGCAAAATTGTTGAAAAAATTAAAAAAGGAAAAACAAGTGTACGAATATTTTCTCAAAAGACTAAAAAGATAAAATGATAAAATGACTAAAATGATAAAATTTAATTTGCATAATATACAGTAAAGCCCAGAAAAATAATTTAATTAACTTACGTGTTTGCTAGCTGTGTATCTGTTAAAACGTTTGTTTCTGTCTTCTTACTCAGAATGGAATTTGGAATTCGAACCGGGATGGAGAATGGAGAGAAAGAGAGAGCATAGGCGGGGACGTGTTGGATGGTGACCTTCGAGAAACGAAGCCCACGTGATATAGACGCATCTGTCTTATGAAGTCACCATGAGGGAGTGCTAAGAAACCTCTCTCCTCCATTCGAAGAGAGTGAACCTACAGCGCGTGTATTTCTCAATAGAAGTTAATTTTGTTATTCCGATGTAAAGTAAATAGGAGATTATTAATTAAATAATACTACCCTGAGCATTTATTATATTTCATGCTTTAAAACTCCAAATATCTGAGTTTATTTTTTTTCTAACGCTTGATAAAAATCTTCACCTGGGTGATCAATAATTATTTATTTTATTCTCATTTTATTTTCCATAGTTGGATAAACTTTCGAACAATTCATAAAGCTTTCGAACTGCAAACAAAACATTGCTCAGTATTTTCCATTTATATATAAACATGAAAACTATGAATATAAAGAGCATTTTAGAAGAAAAAACGTTTTCTTACAGAATTTTTTAAATAGTATATAATTTTTTCAGTATGGCAATAGAATAAAAGAACAAGCATTTTCGGTTGTTACATTTATTTTTTGAACAAAATTTAGTGTAAGAGATCTTTTATAATAAACTAAATATTAAAAAGTCATATATTATCAATTATTTATCGGTATAAGTACATTAAAGTTTACTTTTTATTGTCAGTATTGTTTTAACCTAAGTCAAATGGTGTTATGTAAATAACTCTGTTATCATAAAAACAATTATTCAACTTGCAGTGATCCATGTTCTTATAAAATGAAAACCAAAGATGTGTTTTTAAGCTTTCACAGCAAATCATTTTGCTTTTGGTCTGCCGACTGTCTTTATTAAATACTTTTTAATTAAGATATGAATTTTTACTTTTCCGCATTAATCTTTAATGAAATCTTGATATGTCCACGTTAGATTATATGAACATGATAATTAATTTCCGAGCTCTCTAGATCGAAAGTTGTGCCTGTTAACTATCTATGAGGTTTGATTCTTGGAATTTACTTATCTTCAAGGAATTTTAAAAGGGAAAAACTAATAATTATCTGAAAATATAATCATAACTTATTATACTCCTGAATCCATCTGAAACACCATATACTGTATAGCTCTTCAAAAATGTAGCATTTTGCTAACATATGAAGTAAAATATAAAAAAGTAATAGACAATTTTTAAAAATGAAATTTAAAAAAATTGTTTTATGATCAACCTGGTGTAACAATATTTTTTTTTTCAAATTTTGTTTATATATTTAAAAAATATAATATTAATAACAATTTTCACAATCAGTTTGAAAATGTGCCAAAAAATGAAAGAGTAATGTGTCCCTTTAAAATATTATAAACAAACAAATTTGAATTTTTAAATAAGAAACATTATTACCTTTAAACCTGTAAAACTATAATAACAAGGGCATTAAAAAAACTCAAATAAATTAGATATTACAAATGCTATTTTAAGTTCTGTATATTTTTATGATTTTACTTTATAGTTGAGCACTGAATTTTCTACTGAACATTTAATGCTATATGATTAATATGCAATCATAATGTACAAACGGTTTTGCAATGTATGAAGCAAAATTTACTATACATTAAATAATTCTGTAGTATTATACACTTAATTAACCATCAGACTATTTACATGCAACAACATAAAAGCAACATGAAATTAGTAACAAAATTATATAATTCACTCTAAGACAAATTACAAGAAACAAAAACTTATACTGCTTATTTACATTAGCAATGAGTTCTTGTTTACTTTTACATTTTACACTAGTTATTGCTTACTTTTACATTTTACACTAATTTTTCAGTGGATATCATTTTGGCTTTAAAAACAGACATATTAAACATATCGAATATTTCATTTTTCTTAAAATATCAATGAAATCATAGTAATGAAAGCTCGCCCTGTTGTTTTTAATAAGAATGAAGTCGTTTCGTTTTATTGCGCACATCCATTTTTCTTCCAGATCTGCATAGAAAGATTCTCTGATCTGCATAGATAGATTAGGAAAAGCAAAAATATGTACTTTGGAACCAGATTTGTAAGTTCCATTACATCGCGGCACTGATGACATGAAAGACATTATACTGTTTGTGGAACAACCCACAAATTGCCAAAAATGTTAAATTTAACATATCCAACTGCAGACAAGTCACGATATATACCAAGATTCTAAGTCAATAATTGCAGTTCAATAAACTTCTCTCGTAGCAGTGGCGACTGACAATAACCTTTGACTCAACGCTGCCCTCATCCAGAAAGGATGCAGTCCTTATGCTGGCATCACGCGCTCTACGTCACCAAGCTTGAAGGCCACGGTTGGATGCTATTTTTAGAATGCGGCAAAAAGAAGTAGAGTATGCTACAGCTGAAAGTTGTTGAGCAGAAATGTGTGTGTGTATGTATATGGGGGCGAGGTTCACTAGCCAGCTGAGCTGTAAATTCGTTGAACACTGGTAGTTCGGTCCGGGGCTCGAATCCCAGTGAAAGGAACGGCTATATAGGCGTTTTCGTGGTTTTTCCCATGTCTAAACGTATATACGAGCCTGTTTTACTCAGAATATTCGCAGATAGCCATCGAGTGCTTTGCTATAATCAAATAAACCAGACCAAACCATATATGTAACCTAAAAATTGCTATATTTCATATATACTTATAAGATGGTATGCAAAAGGTTTTGAGACTAGATAGGTCTTACGTCTAATTACCAGTTCGCTTTACATTTTCTTTTTCAATTATATATATATATATATGTGTGTGTGTGTGTGTGTGTGTGTGTGTGTGTAATTTAAAAACTTCTGATTGTTTCAAAACCTAACTAACCATTTGTATTGACATGATATAAATATATTTACCGTAATAAACATTGTATATTTAAGACTTTTTCTTTGATATTTTATACCTTGTTCCACATTTTGTTCCATTGTATATATATATATATATATATACCTATATACATATAGACATATATAATCAGGAATGCCCCAAATATCGTCGACTGCATCGTGGGAAATACTGATAGGCGCCTTTTCTTTGGCGAGCAGTTCTCCAGAAAGTTATTTTTATGGTTTAGTAACACTGAATATTTGTTTACATTTAGAATATTAAAGGCGATAATGCGCACTGTTTTCGTCCTCAGGTGGATTACCTGGTTTATTTTAATTATGTATGTGGACTGCCTGCTTTTTTATTATTATTATTACTTTTTTTTTTTATGGAGAACCGACTGAATGATTGAAATTCATTCACGTAGTCTCACAACAACCCTAAATGTATGGAGCCAAAATTACTGCCTACTTCCCCACAGTTCAAATATTAAGACTTATGACAAACCCTTTAGATTGCTAAAACAGGTATGTATCTTTTATATGAAGCAAGCAATAGGTACACGTTCGAAATATTATTATTCAAATTTTTATTACGCAATTAAACAACAATAACAGAACGAAAACCAGTGTCAAAGTTATGAAGCATTATTCCAAATTATAAAAAAGTCAAATAAAATACTGTTACGAATTTTTTATCCAGTTAGATATTTTTAGTAAAATTATAATTAAAATTGTTTAATTTTCCCGTGCACTGCAGCACGAGACATATTTTAAAAGAAAACTGCGCCGCAAAATTAAAAATACAGGATCATGTGCATTTAACATTTAAAAAATAGGTATCTCGTAATTTATATTTAAATTGAATAAATGTTATTGACTACTATGTTAGCTGTAACCGTAATTCCACTCTTTTGCTTTCCAGAAATCTTGAGAAGCAGAAATTACTAGTATCTTGCGCGGCTGAGTTAAAAAGCTATAAAAAGCCACAGAAAGAACATGTCAACTCAGTTGTTTACTTAGTTGCTGTTATTACTGTTGATTGCTTTAGCTTTCTCTGCGCTGAGGATTGCGTTCTATTTAACATTTTAGTAGTTTTGAGTATAGCTACTGATTATATTGCGTGATATTTTGACATCGTTCGAATATCTTTGAGGAAATTGCAGACTTCTGTTATATTTCTTTTGATAAGAATTAATTTTACTAACCTTTAATCGGACTTGTGCGTTCAATTTATTATGAATCCATACGCACGCGACACATTTTGGTGTCAGAAGTGGGATTGAATGCCAATAGCAAGAGCGATGGTGGAGCAGTTAAAACAGCCTTTGCTGCATTTAAAAAAGAAATTAGAGCTGGTCAAGATTTCGTTGAAAAAGTGATGAAACCGTCCAAGTAAAGATTGAAGCAGGTCAAGAGGAAAGCAAAAGAGAAAGTACCTGCATAATCGAAAACAAATTTGAAGCTATGAGAGATAGAATAGACGCTGTCGAAAATAAAGATAGACACATTTTTAAAAAAAAAGCCTTCTTCTATCAAAGAACAAATATAAGGGAGCGTTTCTCCTGTGGAGCGAATCGAAGGAAGAGTTTCTGCCGTCCAACAACAAATTGAACAACAAATTGATGAAAGGGTTTCTGCGGCCGGCCAAAGAAATTCATAGCTTAAGGAATTCTTAGCGACGGCAGGGAGCAGTTCTGATGGTTTTAACTTTTTACATATGCCTGCTTGTCTCTCCCTCAAGTTATCCACATATACAAGGAAGACCTCTTGGTAAGTGTATAAGACACAATTTTCTATAGTGGCGGACGCGAATGGATGGGATTCCCAAGCTAAGGCCTGTCATATCGCCGCTTTTTTAAAGCAGACGCAACAGATATCCTACAGACTCTAATCGAAAACCAAAGAGTAGATTTCGAAGTTCTATCCGGGGCGCTGGAGCGCGAGCTTTGGGAAGAAATGTTTAAAAGATACAGTAGGCTTCAGTTAAAATCTTGTCAACAGAAGCCCACTGAAACATTCCAGGAGCTCACCACGGATGTTGAAAGGCCGTCCCACCTCGACTTTTCGGAGTGCCCGAGAGAAACAAGGGAAATCCTGTCTCTGCAGTTCTTCATCTATGGCGTTTGGAATTCGAAAATACAGAAGGCTCTACGAATAGCGGATGTCAAGCTTTTAAAAAGCGCTCTAGTGTACGCCAG